GCTGGGAGTTCTGTGCTCTGAATTAATTTCTAGGTGCATGCAGAACTGTCCAGGTCAAGGTGAAGGCGGGAAGCCATAAACTCCCTTTCCCCATACATCATACTCCTGATCTGAATCAGGCCCACATATGCCTGGGAAATAAGTTCCGAACTCCTTAAACGTGTGTGTCAGAAGGGCCTCTGGTGGACACTCAGGGGACAGAAACCTTTGTCATGTCCGAGTCAGGCCCGATCATTGTCCACCCGCAAATTTTCTACGTTTGGGCAGGAACGCACAGGAACGGAGTTCCGGCTGGCTCCCGAGTTGGCCACGCCCAGCAGGAACTCATTAGCATAATAGGCCACATCCAACAGCAGAAACTCATTAGGATTGGCTACAGTAGGGGTGCGTGGCCTAACATGCAAAGGAGTCCCTGCTACAAAAATAGGCCCTGGGTTTTGACAACAAACAAGGTAAACAGAATAACAAGCAAAAGGTGGGTGTGGCTGGATAACCACACTTCTGGCAACAGGGGGCTGCAACCTAATGTGCTAATGAGCTGTGCTGTCAGGGGTGTGGCCCAATATGCTAATGAGTTCCTGCTGTTGGGTGTGGCCTATTATGCTAATGAGTTCCTGCTGGGCTTTTTCTACAAAAAGAGCCCTGTACGCTTGTATTCCTTCTCCTCTCCTCATTCGCAAGCTGTTCTATAGATACCTGAACACATGAAACTGCTTTACACTTGAATCAGACCCTTGGTCTATCAAGGTCAATCTTGTCTACTCCGACTGGCAGCAGCTCTCTAGGGTCCCCGGTGGGGGTCTTTCCACCAACTCCCACCTGATTCTTATAACTGGAGATGCCGGGGGATTGAACCTTGGACCTCTTGCATGTCAAGCAGATGCTCTACCACTGAGCCGAGGCCCGTCCCATCAATGCAGACTTATCTCAGAGGCTTAACCAAGGCCCATAGCTCTGTGTCCTAATGAACTTTGTTGAGCTATACAGAATTATAAAGGAGGGAGTCAGTGTTGAGATTTCTTTTGGGAATTGCATGATAGCTCAGACTTATGGAAAGGAATGTCAATGGAATCACGGGAACTGGCGAATGTGGATGGACACTCAATCAAATTAGAAAGATTGAAAAATGGATAAAGAAAGAGAGGTGACCAGGAAGGGCACTTGAAGGATTAAGTCCACTGGGCGATGGTCTAGCTCAGGGTTGCCAGTGGGTGCCAGGGTGCCTGCCAATACCTTTTCTGGTGCCCTCCAAATGGATTTAGAAAGTGGGCAGGGCCAGATGGGGCTTTTGTCCAGCAAGGCTTCTGATTGGCCATTTTAGATTTGATTGGTCAATATGTGCATTTTTTTTAAAGTTCCTTTGGCGGCAGCTGCCTCTACAGCACAAGGATCTTCACTGTGTGACTGAAGGTCGGCCGCAGCAGCCATTTTGTGGCTGGCTCCACCTCTCAAGGCAGCCATTTTCCGGCAACCATTTCGAGGCTGCGCCCATCACTCTGTGTCAGGATTCCAAGTGTACTCACAGACTTAAAAAGGATGGGGGGCCCCTGGCCTATCTTAAGAGCCGGAGCACGAGCTGCAAACCCAGTGGTGTTTCTCCACTGGGGCCGTTTCCTTATGGGCCTTGTGTCTCTGCTGCTCTTGCTGGTGGTGGCGGTGTCACAAACTGGAGTGCTGGTAGTTCTAGATCTGGACCGCCCCAGCCAAGTGATAGCTGTCATTGGGCCTGGAATGTCTACTTGGTCTCCCAGTGATGAGGTCTCAACTACAGGTTCAATGCGCACAGCTGTGGGAGCCAGAGGCTCTGAGTTCCCCCGTAGTGGAGTCTCTCAGCCACAGACTCTTGGGACACAGCCTTGGGAGTAGGGTTGCCAAACCCCCCTGATTGCCAGGGGTCCCCCGTTTTTTGGGGGGGGTTCTACCCGCCCCCAACACCCCCAACCACCCATCCCTCTCCCTTTAAGTGTGTGCAACCCGTGTTTCCTCCCAAGCGCGAACTCCGCAAGCTTGCAGGGAAATGCCAGCTTCGTTCTTAAAAGGAAAACGCAGCTGCTCTTAAAGGGGAAACGCCGGCTGCCGGCTACTTTAAGTGCAGAGAACTGCTGTTTCTGGAGATCCGGCGCACAGGCGGGTGGGGGGGGCGGCAGACGTCCCCAACGTGACATCATCACATTGGGGATGCCCCACCCCCTCCAGGAACGCCCCCAAAGTCCCCCGCTGGGGGTGGAAGATGGACTTGGCAACCTTACTTGGGAGCCAGAGGCTCTAGGCCTGAGGGAAATCCCATAATGCTAGCACTTCTCTAGGATCCCTGATTGGCTGGTTCTTTTTTCTTCTCTGCTTGTGTTTTGCTCCATCTAGTGGTCAATTTGATATTGCATTGCTGTACATCTGGCATAAAAACCTGCATTTTAAACTGCAGGGAGATATACTGGATATACCGCAGTGTAATCGCAAATCGATTACTAGAAGAAGCAAAACATGTGCGAAAAACGAAACACCCCCCCCCTCGAAGCAATAGGGACACACAAATTATGAAATGGGGAATGCAGAAGAGCCGTGGATCTCCCAGTGAGCAGGGGTTAGGGAGCATGATTTCAATCACAACTACAGCACAGAGAAAGAGGTGTTTAAGAAGGGGTTCCCAGCTCTGGCCTCGGAGATTCCTGGAGATTTGGGGGCAGGGCCTATGGAGGGAAGCCTCTGGGGACATATTTCACCCAGAATCTGTGATATACCATAGAGTCTGCCCTCTGAAGCCGCCATTTCCTCCCAGGGAACTTATCTCTGTAGTCTGGAGATCAGCTGAAATTCTGGGAGAATTGCAGGCCCCTACCCTGGAGGTTAAGACGCTGAACTGCAGGCTGTGGAAGGTCAGTAGTTCAGCAGTTCGAGACCCAGGTGCTGCAGGATGGAGTGAGCTCCCGTCTCTGGTTCCAGCACCTGCCAACCTAGTAGTTCGAAAGCAAGAAATTGCAAGTAGATAAATAGGTACCGCTTCAGTGGGAAGGTAGCAGTGTTCCGTGCGCCTCGGTGTTTAGTCATGCCGGCCACATGACCACGGAAACATCTTTGGACAGCGCTGGCTCTTCAGCTTGGAAACGGAGATGAGCACCGCACCCCTAGAGTTGGATTCGACTGACTTTCGAGCAAGGGAAAACCTTTACCCTTTAACCTTACCCTGGAGGCTAGTAACCTGTGCCTAAGCCTTCCCCTGACACTTTGTTCCTAGCTGGAAACAGCCCCTGAGCATACTAGTTGCCCTTTGGGACAGACATTCTGGTACCCATATCAGTAAATCTGAGCTGTAAAATCCGTAACAGCGAATCTGAAAACGCCTTCAGAGACTCTCTTCTGCCTGCCTGCGTGCTTCCTGGTTTGCTTTTACTTTTTAATGGTGGTTTTGCCAAACTTCAGATGAGGTCTTTGATTATGCCGTGGACTTCCTTCTTCTTGTTTCCATGGCTTCCCTCTGAAGAATCTCCTCCTCGTTGGCTCATTCGGCTTTTAAAAAGAAATCCCTAAAACTGGCTTGATGTCATAATGCAGTCAAGAGAACCCCAGTGAGGAAAGGGAACGTCCTTGGTGAGTGAAAAAGACAGATATTGACATCAGGCATTCATTCTCCTCTTCTCTGCTGTGAAACCAGGTTTTCTCGAGGACTTGGATGACGAGATCTTCGCAGCCATTAACAGCACAGTCACCCTTTCATACAAGTTGAATCCCCCAGGTGAAAAGTATCCGAACACCATGGAAGTCCTCCTGACCAAGGAAGTATCAGGAAAGTCCACCTCCCTCGGCAGTGGCAGAGATTCCTGTTCTCCGAAAACAATACCCAAAGTCCAGTTTGAAGATGGTGGGCGGTACCAGTGCCGCCTCAGATTTAGCCGTGGGTGGTTGAATAAGACCATCCATTTGGTAGTGATGAAAGGTAAGAGTCAATATTCTTCCCTTTCTGTGTAGCAGCATGAGTATAATTTGGGGATATGAGATTTCTGCAGGCCACGGAATCTTAAGGGTATGCTTGCATTGGTTATAGGAATTGGGGACTGCATGGGAACAGCCGTTGTGGCTTCATGCATATTATTTATTTATTTATTTGACACAATGTATACCTCGCCTTTCTGCCCTCATATGGGGTTCCAAGGCAGCCTTTGTTGTTGTTGTTCAGTCGCACAGTCGAGTCCGACTCTTTGCGACCCCATGGACCAGATCACGCCAGGCCCTCCTGTCTTCCGCCGTCCTCTGAAGTTTGCTCAGTTTCATGTTCATTGCATCTATGACACTGTCTAACCATCTCATCCTTTGCCGTCCCCGTCTTCTTTGACCTTCAATCTTTCCCAAGGCAGCCTATCACCCTTTAAAACAGGCAAGGATGTGTCCAGTTCAACGCTCATCCCTTTCCAATGATTATCCAGAGCTTTGTTTATTAATGGAATTGCTCCCCAATAACAAAAGCATTGATCAGTACAGAAATTTGAAACAACAATTAGAGCAGCAACAAGAGAATTCCAGAGTCTGGCACATTCAGACGTCCTCATCAATGGGCAGGAAATGACTGGTCTCGTACCACTTTTCCTGAGCCAAGAGGGCCACAAAACCTTAAGGCAGGGGAGGCCAAACTTGTTTAACGTAAGAGCCACATAGAATAAATGTCAGATATTTGAGAGCAACAAGACATGAACAAATATTACACACATGTTTTTATTGGAAAATATTCAAATTTGCTTTTTATTAACATTAAATGAGACTGCCAAAAATAAAAACAAAAGGGCAAAAACAGATATTGATAATGATAGTTATTTGTCCAATGACATTTACTTGTTCGCTAAAGATATTTATTTGTGTAAGAGAGAGAGACAGAGAGAGAGGTGAAAAGAAAGAATGAAAGAGGTAAAAGGAAAGATACTCTAGGGCTACTGGAAAGTAGTGGAGTTCCAGGCGTAGCATTGTGAAATCAGCTCACATTTATTGATTACGTCGGAACGAAAAGAGATCACTTAATCGGTGCGAGGCCGGCTTGTATTCCTGCATACACTCACACCCAACACACCCCCAATCCCCGTGACAGGTTCTATATACATGGCCCTGGTAACGATAGGTTCTCATCAGGATCCTAGCGCTCCCATTGGTTCTCGCTAGGATCCGCGGTGGCTATTGTTCTAGACCCGAAGGCCTGTGAGTCCAGTAGAAGGCCATGTGCACGCGGTCGCAGCCATCTTAGTACATAACAGCTACCAACTGTGGAAGAATTTTAATCGCTTTCCTTGTAGCTGATTAATAGGGTTACAAAATCCTGAACAACAATTACGGCACCAGGAGATGGTCCCCAAGACAAGAACCAGGAAACCAAGGGTATAGCCCAGTAGGGTTGAGGGGAGGAGCCTGGTAGGCCAAATGCTAAGCTCAGTTTAGAGCTTAGAAGGAAAAAGGAATGGCTCATCCAGGGGAGCTTTTATTTTTTAAAAGAGGTGCCGGAACTCTTAAGAGGGAAATGAAGCTTTCAACCTGTATACTGAAGACTCATGGACTTTTAAACATCTTTAAAAGCATTTTGTCGAAGAGGTTCCGGAAGTCCGTCCTGGCACGTTCCCCCAGGAAAAAGAACCCTGGGCTCACCTGAACTGAATGGTTACAGAATAGATGCAAGTGGGAAAAGGTGGAGCCTGCAGACATTGTTCTAGTCCTCTCAGATGCACACCTGTCTGTCCTCTAGCCGCGTTTTGTAGACGTCATTCCAAATCAATGCAGACTAACCTAACGCAATCCAAACCCTGGGTGTGCTGCAACCAGAAAGCAAGAATTATAGGAGGGCTGTCTTAAACTGACCCAGACCTGGATAGCTCAGGCAAGCCTGATCTTGTCAGATCTTGGAAGCTAAGGAAAGTATTTGTGTGGGATACCTCCATGGAATACCAGGATCATCATGACACGGAGGCAGGCAATGGCAAACCAACTCTGAACGTCTCTTGGAGGGGTGCACGACATCAGCTGGATCCCTTCTTCACTTCTTGGAACAACCCAGATTTGAATAGGTTAGCTCTAGAAGCCACACAGCATGTGTGAAAGAGCCACATGCTGCTCCTGAGCCACAGTTTGGCCACCCCGTCCCTTAAGGGATCATCCCTCAGACTGTGATTTCTTGCGAGAGGCTTCCTTTTGGCTCTTCTTCTTCCTACATCTCAGTCTCAGCGGATGGTGGAAAGGGGCATCAAGTCGCAGCGGAGTTTTATTTATTTATTTATTTTTATTTATTCCAGGGGTCGTTTCGTAGAAAAAGAGCTAGGGGAACTCATTAGCATAACTCATTAGCATATGCCACACCCCCTGACATCACCGGAAGTGTGTCATAAGGCCACACCCCCTGACATCACCGGAAGTGTTTCATAAGGCCACACACCCCGCCCCCAACGGTCC